ATTAGGCTTCTAATGCAAATCAAAATAACATGTGTGTGTGTGTGTGTGTGTGTGTGTGTGTGTGTGTGTGTGTGTGTGTGTGTGTGTGTTTTGTACTGTGGTGTTGAGGAAGCTTAATGACGTCCATAGCTGGTTTCAGTCCTCATCACTGAGCCGTATCAACACTGAAACATGTTTTTATGACATTTTCTCTCCATTTGTGACATTTTGAAATCCATTTTCTGCTTTCAGTCAATGTTCAAAGCTCAGAGTCGCATAATGCAGAGAGGAGGTCAGTGTGTGTGTGTGTGTGTGCAGGGAGGGATGCAGACATAGTAAGTGGCAGTCGAGGGATGAATTAGTGTGTTTGTGCGAGTGTGCGAGCAGCAGCAGCACCTACAGCCTGTAATCTTCCCAAGCTGACAGACTGAAAGCCTCAACAGTCTCCAGAAGGTTAAAGGTGACACAAACACACACAGTATCATCATCGATTACACGCACAGACTACATACTGTACTAACACACACACACATACAAGCACAGCGGGGAGGGGGGGGGCACAGGGTGACAGTTCAACAGCAGCAGATTGGAAGATCTGCCATAAAATCACACTGAGAGAGAGAGAGGGAGGGAGAGACGGCGGCTTCTGACAAGCAATTACAGAGAGAAGAAGTAAAGAGCAGGAGAGGAGACGAGGAGAGAAGGTGACGAGGACGGAGGAGAGCTCGCTCCCCAGAAGAGCTTCATTTCAACCTGAAACAAAATCACGTGTGTTACAACACAATTATCAGACACAGGTTATGTAAGGAGCAGTGAAAGAAACTGCAGCCACACGACCTGAGACACTGTTTGATTGACAAGGCACAGAAATTCACCGTGCAGCTGCTTTGACAGGTTCCTACAAGCAGGAGGAAAAAGAGGGAATAATTTAGAGAAGAGGAGAGGTCAGGAAGGAGAGGCAGCGAAGAGGAACGCAAGGAAGAGGGGGGAGGAGAAAATAAGAGGAGATTGTTGAAATCATTTGACAGGGATCTCGGTGAAGAGGGGGGTTGGAGGGAGGAGATGAGGTGATTATGGGCTGGAAAAAGAAAAGGAGCAAAGAAGGAAGGAATGAGAAAAATAATCGAAACGCAGACGCAGACACAGGCCTTCATGTCTCCCCACACTATCATTTTATTTATTTTATTTACCCAGTTATAGTTCACCTTTTTCAATAAAGATTCAATCAGATTTCTCTTATATACCCCTTATATGTTCACCTTTTAATCAGTTCAATTAATCTGCGGGATTGACTTTCAAAATAAAATACCCGTGGATTATTTCAGTTATTCAAAAACAAAAGATAAAGTGAAATATTAATGAAAACAAAAGTAAATGACTTTTCTCTCCCAGCTGAGGCGCAATGTTTGTTTCTTACATTTAAATGTGCTGCACACTTCTTTAACTCTGAACTCGGGTTCAGTGTTAGTGTGTTAGTGTGTTGGTGTGTTGGTGTGTTAGCTGCATGCAAGCAGACCGAGTCACACGAATATGGAGCTTCGTTCTCTTAACTCAACAGAACTGAGGGTTATTTTTATTTATCAGTAATTATAGTTTTGGTGAAAATTGCACTTTTTTGTCTGTTTTCTGTGTTACGTGTGACAGTGTTCAGGTTAGGGGTCACTTTTCTCACACGGAAACCAAAAAGCGAGTTGTGATTCTGCACAAAGTGACTCGTTGTGTTGGCGATGTGACACGTCATGATGCCGGGCTGCAAACACTTCAGTCCTGATGGATTTTTTACCTTTAAAAAATGGTCAGCACTGCACTCAGAAGGAAACAAATGGGGTGTTTTAGGTGTGATCGCTCTATTCAGGTCGGGAGGGGGGAAAATCTATTCTCTGTGAGCTCATAATGAATTTTAGAGAGCGAGTCGATGAGCTTTAAGGCTGAAGGAGTAAATCTTGTTAATTGTCCTCCTGGTATCTGAGATCTATATTAAAGGGAGGTCACAGGGAGCACAGAGAGGGGTTTTAGTACCAACACAGGAATGGACTCAGAGTAAAAGACGTGTTAACGTGAACAATCCTAAAGAAAAGGTTTTCTAAATAAAAAGCATGCAGTGAAATAATGAGGAGAAAGTCAGAGGATGTACTGAGAATATAACTCTGACCTGCTGTGAGGTTCTATCTGTGGATTACTTTTTTTATTTGCTTGGTCTTCATTTTTGCTTTTGCTTCCAAAAGTATTCACTCATCCATTCAAATCATTGAAATCAGGTCCCGGTCACTCCCACAGGTGTTTAAAATCGAGCTTCTACAAACATGTGTGAAAGAATGGGACGCTGTGAGGAGTTCAGAGTATTTCAGCGTGGAACTGTCACAGGACGCAGGCCCAGTCATGAAATTTCTACAATACTAAATACTCCACAGACACCTGTGGTTTCAGAATTCATTCAGTATAATAACACTGTGAGACTAATTGGGACCAACAGCAGCTCAGTGGCAAAGCCAAATCACAGAGCGGGGTGAGCAGATGCTGAGACACAGAGTGTGCAGAGGTCGCCGGCTTCCTGCAGAGTCAGTCACCACAGACCTCCAACCTTCATGTGGCTGTCAGATTAGCTGGAGAACAGTGCAGAGAGAGCTTCATGGAGTGGGTTTCCATTGCTGAGCAGCTGCATCCAAGCTTTACATCACCAAGTGCAAAGTATCAGGTGAAGAGGTGTAGAGCAGCGGAGACAGGCCACGCCTTCTTGTCCAGCATCAGCTCAGAGGAGCTGAAGCTGTTACAGCTGCAAAGGCTCAACATCATATTAAACCTTATGGATGAATCCACGTGACGGTCACTCTTTTGGCAGCACAGTGCAGGGCCTACACTGTAGAGCCGTGTGCTGATGTGTTTTTAATAGATGCTGGTTGATACCAGACTTGGACATATTCACTGTTGGTCATCCTGGAGTATATTTAATATTTTTCGTGTAAAATATTTGTAGTTTTTCACACAGAGCATGATTTTCCATTATGATGAAAAACGTGCAGATGTGCATGCTGCAGCCTTTCTGATGATGAAAGAGTTCATTATCCTGCTGGACAGAAAACCCAGCCTGCCGATGGTTTAACCTGCAGGTTAATGAGTGTGTGATCAAACAGCAACCGCACTGATTGATGCTCTATCACACCAGAGGACAGAGAGAGAGCTGAATGTGGTTGTAAAAGAACTGAACACACTTTTGTTCAGTTTTAGAAAGTGACTCGCTGAGGCCGGCTCCTCCTGTTTATTCAATAAAAATGTTTTTGACCCATATATCACAGTCGGTTTCAGAGCAGTTAAACATTTTCATGGACAGGTAAAAAAAAACAGCAACACAAGCAAAATTTAAAAACATCTTTTTCAGATTGAATCCAAAATGTTCTCGGCAGCCTAACAGAGTAGATTTGTTGCAGAGCAAATGCTGAATTTGTCTTTTATTAAATTAATTAAAATGTCATGTTTACCCTCATGTGTGCTATTACTGCTGACGTGTCCTTGAGCAAGATATAAAAAATTGCCCCCAGTGCGTCCATTAATGTGTGAATACGTCACACAGCTCATAGGAGCAGAAACTGCCTCACTGTAGGAGCCGGCCTCCAGTGGTCATCGAGGGAACTGCAGCTTTTGGTTTTCCACATCATTTTAAGCTCTGACGGTTGCTGCTTGATTTTATATTCAGGCTAACTCATCAAAACCAGCCATGGAAAAAAGAAAAAGAAAATTGTGGCCTATTGAACATTAAAACAGACAAAAGAATTCATTTAATCGTCTCCACATCCTCTGATATTCTCCTAATCTGCTCTTAATTTGCTGTACGGCCTCATTAAGCCCCTCTGAGTTCTTCACTTATTCATATATTTTTCTATTATTAAAAGAAGTAATTTCCTTGATAACATCTTGAACGTGATCATAATTAATGTATTTCTTTTTGAACAAATTCATCACATGACATTTTTCAGCTCCTCGCTGTTTAAATATATTCGATGAGTTCTATTTTCATCTGTGTTGCTCTTTCTTCAGCTCGGTGAAGACAGTTGGTGCTCTGGCTTTCGTCTCAGCTGTCCCTGAAACCAGCAACAGCACAGCGGGACCTGGAGACGCCGTGGACTGAATGTGTGGATGTTTCAGTGGCGCTTTCATGCTGCCGTCGTCTCGCAGAAAGACTCACATCGTCGATTTGAGCGGTTTGTGAATGCGAGTGCTGCGAGCGGTCCACCCTGCTGTGAGAGGGAGGCTGCATTAACTGATCAGCAG